GTTGACCATTTAAGCGTTCTAATGGGTCAGGTATTGATTCCCTCTTCAGAAGATGCTTTAAAAGCTCTTTTGATGGCAAGGAACTTGTTTCCACTAAATAATCTAGTTGAGTTTCTTCAATTTGTAGGCAATGTGGTATATTTGCCACTCACCAAAAAACTGTTGGGATCTCCACCATAAAGCCTGTTTCAAGTGAAACCTTTTGTAATGACTTCATCCCATTGACAACTTCATCTGAGATCAAAGTAAACAAGAGATTGGTACTACCAGTCTAGAGAATTCAAGACTGAAATGGCAATAACATGTAGTCTAACAATTGCACACACCTACTGCACCAAAATCCCTGCCAAATAAAATTTTGGCTTCTATTTTGGTAGGGTTCTACATTTCAGATGATGTAATGTAGTTTCTAGGAAACTGACTGACCGTAGGTGTAATTTATATTTCTCAAGTTTGGCAAACTATGTTTTTTAAAATATTATAAAGATGTTTGTGTAAGTTGCTTATAGTTTTAATAACAAAATTAAGGTATTTCTCAGAGGCTGATCTTATTAAAAAGGTTTGATTGTTGAACTTTAAAAAAAATTACATCAAGAGCAAATGGTACAATTTTTAAAATAATAATTCTATTAATGGCTGTACTGTACTATATGTGATTAGGAAATGGGGTAGTGGATAAAGCATTTTAACATCACCAAAATGGGCTCACACAAAAAGTAACTTTGTCCTATTGGAAACATTTCGCAGGGAAAAAAAACATGAGGTTATAAGGACACTGAAGTAGGAATCGGTCAGCTCTTTGGATTCCAAACATGAGTGGAAAATCCTGTATTTTTTGCCAAGTTACTAACTTACAACTCTTCATCCTGGGTATTCAATAGTATGGCCCTCCTGACTGGCAGTGTTGCTGATAATGGGAGGAATGGAAAACTACCTGATCAAGAGATGATACAAAGTGGGAGTCATGCAGTTTTAACTATGATCATGGAAAAAAATGGGCACTACAACCAGATGTAACTGAATCTTTTCCCTATGGCTGAGAGTTGAGGCCTAATTTCCTGAATAGTAGAATCAGAAACTAGTAGACAAACATCTGTAGTCTCTTTCTGTGACACATTTCCTGTTATACCTGTGGAGATATGACAGCCCTTAGCAAAAGTAGTATCCATTTTACTAGCAGTCTCTATATCAATAATAGCAAAATGTTTTTACAGGAGCGCCTCTAGAGATCTGTATGGTAAATTGTAGAAAACGACTTTTCCTTGTTGAATTATCATACTCTGGTCTCTTTCAACTCTTTGAGCTTAAAACAGAAACCTCAAATGTACTAGTTCTGCAGGGCAATAGCTGATGTTAGAAATCCCTCTGTCAGTCTCTGCTTTGCTACTTGTTTTCGCTGCCATGAAACGGGGAGGGAGGGCATGGTAATTAGGTGGGGAAGTAATCTGTACAGGAGGATTGTTAAATGTGGATTGTTCACGCCATTCATTTGCGTATGTGGATGGAGGGGAGTTTTCTGCCAAGGCCAACTGTCCAGCATTCCAACCTGATGATGATTTTTGAAGATGTCTCCCACTTGACGGCTGTGGTGATATACGATTGGACTATGGACTGGAGTACCAAGGGGAGGGGAATGAATCNATTGTAAGCCGCCCTGAGTCCCCTCAGGGAAAAGGGCGGCCTATAAATGTCAAATAAATGACAAAATGACAAATGAAGTTGGACATGTTTGCTGCTTTGAATTATATGTAAAAATAATAAAGGTGAGATACAAACAAATTTGAGTTCTATTTGGGACGACAAAATATTCTAACAAAATATATTGCCAGGATCCTATAAATAAATTCATCATTATCATCATCATCATAATTTTAGCTATTTTGTATCCGCAGGATGAAGGCCTCTTCTGCATGTTTCCAACCAATAATGGTCCTGAGCTTTCTTTTGCCAATTGGGCCCACAATAAATAAACTATAGGGTTCGTAAAAACAATAAATGGTTTAAATACATTCGGTCTCAGAATCCTCCAGTTGTAACAGTCTTAATACAGGCAATCCTCGATTCACAACCACAAATTTTTTATCGCTAAGCAAAACAGTTATTGTAACATTTCTTGCTACAGTTGTTAAGTGAATCACTGCAGTTGTTAAGTGAATCTGGCTCCCCTATTGACTTTGCTTATCAGAAGATTACAAAAGGTGAATACATGATCTTGGGATACTGCAATCGTCCTAAATATGAACCAGTTCCCAAGCATATAATTTTTTATCACGTGACCAAAATTTTGATCATGTTATAACTTCAAATGGTCACCAAATTAATGATTGTTGGTTCCTGTACATAGTCTGAGAAAGATATCAATCTATTGACAGTAGGATTATATACTAATCAAAATGGACTAAAGAACCCTTTTAACATAAGGGAGAATTGTATACTCAAGATTATATAAATGTATCAAATTACTTTGAAAATGTAGAACAATAATTCAAAATATGTGAATTTTACAAATTCTAATGTGGGAATGATGATATGAAATATTTATTTGTATTGTACAACACCTGCTGAAGTTTATTTATTTAAAACATTTGCATAGTTGCCCATTTTAAATACAACTCTGGGCAGCTTACAACCAGTAAACAATAAACTTGCAAACTTGGGAAAATAAAGAAAAATATAATTTAGGATATTATTAAGTTTTTAAAAATCCATCTGTATGATACGAAAAAGTCAAATTCCTTAAACTTTTTATGTAACATGCTGCCATCTGGTGGCAATATATTGTTAATGAGAATTACACTACTAAATCAATCATAAAGTAACAAAAAAACTTAGTATATTTTTGAAAGGAAAAAGTTTCACTTTACAAACATTAGTTTGCATCAAATCTCCAAAATTTCACCCAACATTTTAAATTAAATTGGACAGGTTTTCCTAAATACAAAAACAAAATAGTTTTAAATCTCTAAAATACACATTTTAGACACAGAATTTTTGTATTTAAAAAATCACTACTGCTGGATTGCAGGTCTTGAATGAATACTTGCAAATATTTTTGAAACACAAATAAATATTTCATATCATCATCTATTTTAAAGTATTTAAAATATATGACAATCAGATTAAAACACTTTTGGAATAACTAAATTCTCTTTGGATTAAAAATCAATTTCACAAGTATTGAATTCCTATAACAGTGATTGTGAGCCTGTGGCACGAGGAGCCATATTTGCCGGCATGCCAGCCGTCAGCTCTGGCACTGGCCAGCTGATTTTTCAGCCTTCCCGAGGGCCGGTGGAGGCAGTTTTTTGCTCTACCCAGGCTTCAGGAAAGCCTCCTGAGCCTGGAGAGGGCGAAAAACAGGCCCAACGGCCAACCCGAAGTCTGTTCCTGAACTTCCAGTTGGCCTGTTGGTCTGTTTTTCACCCTCCCCAGGCTCCAGAGGCTTTCCTGAAGCTTGGGGAGTGTGAAAACTCCCCCCCCCATGTGAGTGGAGCACACACATATGTGTTCGGGGGTGGGGTAGCGCACACATGTGCAGGTGGGTGGGGCGCATTCCATTGTGGGTCTGGGCGTGCGCACTCACAATTTAGGCACAGCTTTAAAAAAAGGTTTGCAATCACTGGCCTATAATAATGAAAAATAAGAGAAATTAAAACCAAGATGATTTTACAACAGTGGAAGAGAAAACTTTAGCAAAAGTTTCTGTATAGGGATCCCTGTCAAACTCAGACACATATCAGAACAAGCCATTTTGTTTGGGGTCTGCCATTTTATTTTGAATCAGCCATCTCTCATATGAACCTAATTATGGAAGTTTTTGGTAATTCCTGATTCAATTAAATAAAATCCAGGGAGATACGAAGGGCAAGATCAGCACATCAGCTCTTTCCTTAACATTGTAATCCTTAGCATGGGCATATTTTGCCAGTCAGCTAATACATCTTCCTAGCACAATCCATTCGCTCCCTCTCCACAAAAATGTTTTAGCCAAGACTGTTTTAGTATATTTTATAGGAGAAAAATAAGGAATTGCATATGAGAATGTAAAGTGACATCCATATTTCTCCCTTCTTTGGGTACTTAAAATAAGGTTAAATGATACAAAGTGGTTTATTTACAAATGATTATTTGCTGTTTGTTGACCTGAATATTGTACAAATCTCAATGTCTGCCTCCTGCCTCTGTCACCCCAATTTTGATCAAACTCTTTTGTAAACAACAGATCAATGGTCTCTTAATGCAACTTGTGATTTACATTGGAGATTATATTGAAAATCATTTCTCCACTCCTTGGTGAAATAAAACTCAGTAAATTTTGATTTAATGTGCCATCTAATTAAGAAAAGAATAGCTATTGTTATTTGATTTCTGGCTTTTCTATGCCTTTGAATCTCTCTCTTTAGATTTTATTTGTAATCACCAGTATTTATTCTACTTCCTCTGAGTAAAAAACCTGAAGAGAACTGTTCTGAGGAAACCTACGGCTCTGTGAAAACTTGGTGTTACATGACACACTAAATGTAAAAAAAAAAATAATTATCACTTGTCAATTGGCAAATTTTCTAAGGTATAATAGAAAAAGCAGGGCTTTTCAGCTGACATTCAGACCCTCTCCCTACCCCTAGAGCACTTGACTGAAATAGCATGGAAGATACCATGCTATATATAACAATATACCTATATATAGCTATTCAGGTCCAAAGTAGGAAAAGTGCTTTAAATTTGGCATGATGATGCTCATTATATCACTCAATGTCTCATTAAAATAACCCACAGTTTTGTGTATTCACAAATTAGATATGTGGTCTCAGGAAACACATTTGAGGTACCGTAAGTAGGCATTAAGATATCAGTGAAAGGACTAAGACTTGGCCAACAGCTGCACAACCTTACAATCTGCATAGAAATCTTAATTTCATCCTGTGGCTTTTAATGGAATCCTGGTATGGTTCACTAGTTCAGGAAAAATATTTATCTTTATTTCAAAGATATTTTTCTATACTTAATCTAATATATTAAAAGATACTCAAAATTACCTCTTCTACATTTGAAGCAGTTTTGGCAGATGTCTCCATAAAGATAAGGCCATGCTCTCTTGCAAATGCTTCGCCTTCTTCTTTTTTCACTTCTCTTCTAGACTCTAAATCACTAAGGAGAGAAAAATTAATTGAGAAATATCAGAATACTTAACTGTATCTGTTTATAATATTTAAGTAATATTACAATTATGTCAATTTTTTTAATCTCAGGTAGTATTATTTTTCTGAAGTCCAGATTTATTAAATTGCAAATATGTTCACTATTGTTGATTAAAAACTCCAAGTGGAAAGCTTTAACATTTCTCACTACTGCCAGAATTGCCAGCATTGATGCTTAACAGAAGACATGCCTATTCAAACAAACGATTGGTTGTTCATTATCTTAGCTAACTATTTCCAAATAATTGCCTTTGCTACAGTATGAGATACAAGTAGCAATAATAAAAACAAATCCTGTCTATAAATTGCCTATTAATGCATATGACTCATCATAATGGCAGAAGTCTACAACCTTAGTCACATGTGGCCCAAAGCTTTTAAGTGAATCTCCCATATCCTTCAGAGGTAGTTATGAAATTCTAATTTTAATGGAAAATTATAAATACACATTTAGCATACCTACATTTAGCTGAATTAAATGTTAAGTGAAATTAGATCAAATTTAATTACCCACTCTCTTTCAGCCCAATTCACCTCATAGGATTGTTGTGGTGGGAAAAATAGGATGGGAAAGGAGTACATGTTCACAACCTTGAGTTATTTATAAAAATAAGAGTGGAATAAAAAAATTTAAACTCTAAATTGATATAGCTAACTATAGAATTAAAATTATCCTAATGTACACCGTTTCAGAAAACAAAATACCTTTTATTTCCAATTAGCATAATAACCATATTGGAATTAGAATGCTGGCGGGCATCTTCTAACCATGTTGTCAAATGGTTGAAAGTATCCCTCCTGAAAAGAAATTAAAATGTAAATGAATGCCAAAAAAAACCCCAATAAAATATCTCAAAAGATTAACATTTAAAGTTTATAATCCATATAATTGATATCAATTCTAAGTAACTTACAAATCAAAACTAATTAATAACTTGGGAAAGATCAAACACGCTTCACCCTTCTTAAAAAGGCCTTACATTTTGAATTTACATAAGATTCAACCAAATAACACAACTAGAATCAGCAAAAACTATTTAGAAATCATTCTTGCTTTGACTGATGTGATAAAGGAATAATATTTGAAATTCTTAATTTAAATTTAAATTTAAATTAAATATTTAAAATTCTTTTCATTCACATGCTTTATAATCTGAGTAACATAAAACTCTCAGCACAGTATATTAAAATATAACATAATCCAGACAGAAAAGTAATCCATTCTCTCNGAGTGGTTTCTTTCTTGGTTATTAAGTGAAGGGGCCGTGACACCCTCTGAATGGTACTACACACGGAACAGCTTAACAGGTCCTGACATATGGAGAGATCTTACATCTAAGTCAATTAAGTATCGTTGATAAGTACATTTTAAGGGGCATTTAAAGTGACAGCTAAGCCTAAAAATATTCATTCTCCTGTTTGGAAACTTCATGGTTGGTGGAATTTTTTAACAAACAGAATCAATGATCTTAAAGCCATAGGAAGAGGGACATTTTCAGATTCAGGGTCAAGATTAAGAAAGCAAAAAATGAACCCACAAGAATTATGCAAGCAGATATTTGGATGAATCCAAAATCATCAGAGAATTCAGATCACTGCAAGGAAGGCTGAAGAAAAGGTTCAAAATGGTGTTTGTCTAAGATGTAGGTAAGCTAGAAATGCAAGCTTTCTATATGGTGAGTCTTGGAAATTCTCATCTTGTCATAGGTCTTTGTGTTTATGAATCTGTGAAAGTGTTCCAGATCCGGTGAATCCTGTTGCAAGATAATACTGCATCTACAGGCGTTCATCTCAGGAAACATCAATAAAACGTGGACATTCTGTCCATCAAGATCAATTATTAAATTCTTTGCAAAATAGCCTCTGCTTGACACCATGTTCTTCTGAAATCAAAATCTGCAGGTGCTTTCTGTACCTGATTTTCTTTCTTTTCCAGAGAACAAAACCCATCACGATAGACATGACAACTATATAAAATATAGATTCAAACACTAGGGACTTCAGTATATTTTCCATGGTTGTACTCAACCCAAAATAAGATGTTTCATAATCTAAGAAATGCATGATTATTATTTTTCTCTTGCACCTCTATTTTTCCTAAATGTATTTTATACTCACAGGCTATATACTAATATTTGGAAAACCTACCTCATTATTAATGTCAAAAACTCCTTCCTGTATTTTTTCATAGATTTCCTTTGCTGTGTTAATAAATGCCTGAAAGAAAACAAACGTTTAAAATAAATACAAAATATATTTCATTTACTTCTACTATGGCTTACTATGTGTTTGTCAACTTTAGAATCCGTTTTGCTTAACTTTTGGTTAAGTTGCCACTAAACAAGGATTACCTGGTTCTGTTAGACTGTGATAACCTTCCACTTGGTCAATGTATGTATTCTTCTGGTTTTTTGATGAAAATGGAATTCTTCATTTGGAGGTTCTCTGAATCCTGAGAAATTTCAACATTGCTAGTTCCAATGAACTAGTTTAATAGTACCTTATTTTTCGGAGTATAAGANTCAAGGAAATACGGTGATTTGGGTGGTTACCAACTTGTTCTCCAAGCAGGTTCATTTTGTTCCTTGTTCCAAAATCCCTTCCGCTAAATTCTTAGCTAAGTTGTTCATCACCCATATCTATCGTCTGCATAGGGTACCTGACTGCATCATCTCGGATAGGGGGGTCCAATTTACCTCCTTGTTTTGGAAAGAGTTTCTAAAGTTGATTGGTTCCCCCCAGGGCTTAAGCTCCGCCCACCACCTTCAAACTAATGGGGCTTGTGAGAAGACTAATTCTATACTGGAGCAGTATCTCCGTTGTTTCATCAACTACCAGCAGGATAATTGGGTGGAATTGTTGCCTCATACTGAGGTGGCATATAATAACTTGGTACACAGCAGCACAGGGTTTACACCTTTCAAACTGGTGTACGGACATGATTTTGTGCCTATCCCCGAAATACCTCGGAAAAAACCGCAGGTACGGTCCCTTTCTGAATGGAGTGACCAGCTTCGAGAAATGTGGCCCTTGGCTTACCGAGCGCTGGATGAGGCGCATCAAGCACATAAGAAGCAGGCGGATAAAAAGAGGGCGAAGGCATGGAAATATAAAGTTGGTGATTGTGCATATTTATCCACCAAATTTCTCCGAACTTCTCAAAAGTCTAAGAAATTAGGCCCAAAGTATGTGGGTCCATTTTCGGTTGTCAAGGTCATCAACCACATGTCCGTTCGTCTAGAACTACCTAAATATCTCAACCGTGTTTACCCGGTATTTCATGTCAATCTCTTGAAGCCAGAACGTACTTCTCCATTGCGGGGTCCTTTGGCAGCTCCTCCGCCCCACTCCTGATTGAGGGTGAACAGCATTTTTAGATTAAGGAAATTTTGGACTCCAGGAAGATTAGAAACCGTGTTCAATATCTTGTGGCTTGGAAGCATTTCCCTCCGTCTCATGCTGAATGGGTCGATAAGTCCCATGTGTGGGCTCCTCATCTTATATGTAAATTCTACTCTACCTACCCGGGCAAGCCTTGACCTCAAATGATTTCTCTTATCTTTTCCCCACCCCCTTTTCTTCTGTGTTATATTGTCTGTTTTCTTTCGTTTCTGCAGGACTAATCGTCCTTTTTTTGGAGGAGGGCAGGATGTCAGCCTCTGCTTTGCTGCTTGTTTTCGGCTGTCATGAAATGGGGAGGGAGGGCATGGTAATTGGGTGGTGAAGTAATCTGTACAGGAGGACTGTTAAATGGGGATTGTTCACACCATTCGTTTGCGTATGTGGATGGAGGGGAGTTTCCTGCCAAGGCCAACTGTCCAGAATTCCAACCTGATGATGATTTTTGAAGATGTCTCCCACCTGATGGCTGTGGTGATATATGATTGAACTATGGACTGGGGTACCAAGGGGAGGGGAATGAATCATGTATTGATCTCTATCGCTTTCGCACTCTTTTGCTCAGATCCAGCTTCGCTTAGCTTCTCATCATTTATAACCAGTAA